TCCCCTGCTTGCTGGACCAGAGTGTCCAGGAGGCTTCTGAATACCTGAAGTCTGGTGTTCACCCCGCTCTTCCTCTACTTTTTTTGCGGGGGGTGGGGGGAACACATGTGTCATGGAGACTTTTTTCTTTAATCTTCATGTCCTGAGTTGCCAACACTCTGGCGCCCTTAGTCTGCAAGGGAATCGGGAAAAGGGTGAAAGTAAAAAGCTCGTAGTGTGGCTTGTTTCTAGATGGTGCAGTCTTAAATTTCCTATGGAATTTGAATTCTAGTGATATTTTCTGCATACTCTGGGCCTTGAGGAAGTAAAGGAGATGGTGGTGACCTACAATGGGAAGGATCTGATCACTGATTAGGCTCAGGGCTACAGTATTGTAAATGCTGCTTTGTAAATGAATGGGAAACTGGACACACACTCAGAGCTAATGTAGGATCCTGAAGCTGGTCCAAGCAGTCAGGTTCTGACACAGGAAAAGCCTCCTGTGTTATTAAGAGGGGCTCTTCTGAAAGGCTGAGAAATCCTGGGAGATGTCCTCACCATCAGCACCCACCCAGTTCCCCCTTCTTTATCTGAGGCATTTGTGAGGCCAGATTCACCAGCAAACCCAACCCTGATGATGAAGAAACAGCTAATCTGAAGAGGGAAAAAGCCTTAACACCAGCCACTGTGTAGCATTTAACTGAGTGAGCTTCAGATACACAAAGTGGGAGATTCAAGTTGGGGATTGGAGAAAAGTTCCAGAATCAGGTGTCAGAACTGCACTGGTGAAGGGTAGGAAGCACAGGTCAAGCAGTCAGGAAAGCCCAGCCACAGTAAGTGCCAGGTGAGCAGGGAATGCCTTTGCAACCAAGGCCAAAGCCCAGGCAGGGCAGACAGTCCCCCATTTCTGAGCCGAGTGTGGCTCATCCAGGCCCTGACACAAGCTGGGTGGCCCCCCTGGACAGGGGAGCCCCCTGGACAGTCTCCTGTTCCTGGGGACTAAGAATCCTACCAGAGGCAGCTTCCAGGAAGCTTCCCCTGCCAGAGCTCCTGAGACAGGATCCAGTGAAGAGAGGGACCTGGGCCAGGCCCAGAGGGAAATAGTGAGGTGAAAGGCTCGGGGCTCAGTGTGGCCATGGAGCTGATACCAGCCCAGAGGGAGGTGGGTGGCTAAACTGGCCAACAGTGAAGCAAATGGTAGGGAAGGCAACAGACATACCTTTCCTTTGGTGAGCCCCTGTTCCTCTTCTCAGGTCACCTCAAAGAAAAGTGACTTTACTTTGTACCTGTACCTCTATAGCTCTCTTTACAAATAGTATCTTTCAATCGGTCATTCATCAATTCATGGTTAGCCATCACTGTCTAATCACCATTTCCTGAGCTGCTACTACACATCAGGTACACAGTGGGGATGGAAGGACCTGGGGCTGTGGGGACATCTGGGAGGTTGGTGAGGGACTCAAGTTCATGGGAAGTGACCCAGCTGTGGTGCCAACAGGTGATCCACAAACATCTAGGGGTCAAGGGGAGGAGAAGGAGGAGCTATCCACACACCTGGGTTTTAAGAATGATTTGGATTTCCTGAAAGCCACACCTAGAAATAGACTGTGTTTTGAAGGCAGCTCTGGACCAGTGACTATAACTTCACATTATGTTGATCAGAGGAATCGGCTGAAGTAAAGACTCAGGGAATCCCTATTCTTATGTCTTCAGCAAAGAGAAGCCCATGGCAAGGAGATTCTTCAAGAGCTAAGCCTCAAGGAGGGAGGGCATACCTGGGCAGTAATCAGAGGCTGCTCACCTCCATTGGCACTATTTTGTCACCAGCCAGGGTATCCAGGTTCTGTCAATGTCGTCACCCTGGCACCAGCTCCAGAGTGAAAGTAGCTCTTTTATGCATTTGAACCTTTTCAATGCATTTTAGTATTTTAGCTCTCCCTTCCTCTCTCAGACGCTAGTCAACTGAGTGACAATAAACTGATAAAAGTCCCATAATTCCACCTATCTGACTCATGTCCCCTCTTCATTTTATTTTTTTTTTAAATAGAGGCATGTTTTTATTTTATTTATTTGTTTGTTTGTTTGCTTGTTTTGTTTATACATGCACTGGGTACAGTCAGAAGCGCGGGAGGGTGAGAGAATTCACCAGAGCCAGAGCAGGGAGCAGAGCAGGCAGAAGGACCGAAGTACACTGCTGAGGGGAGCAGCGGGCGGCAGGAGAGGTCTGCGCGCCATGTGGGACCCTCCTCCGGTGGTCAGGGAGCAGCCGGGGATCGAACTGGTGCCGCAGAGGCCGCGGGCAGCTTTGCAACCCAGCACTCAACCACTGCGCCACCGGGGAGGCCCTCCCCTCTTCATTTTAGTAGAATTGGAAATACCTACTGTTTATCCCCAGAGCTCCTTCAAATATTAAGCAGCTTTATTCCTATTTAAGCTTTATCCATCTTAGCAAAGATTAAAGGCTCACCCCAAAGGCAGGACTCTTTCTGTTTGCTCACATCATAGCTCACGCAAAGCTTTCCCAGGACTGAGGGGACCAGCTCTGAGCCTGGAAGCCCAAACTCCTGCTTTCCACCTTTAATCATGATCCTCCCTGCTCTCCATTCCCTCTACAAGCACGAGTAGAGGAAGGTCAAGACAATGGAGATCACAGGTTTCTGTGCAGAAAACCCTTTCTCAAGGATTTGAGCGCTTGACCTTAGTTGAGTTCCTGCACAACATGTGGCCTCACCTTCCCCTGTTATCACTTGAGTGTGACTACAGGCTGCCAGGGATCAACTCACCTAGTTGTTCTCAACTAGGCTGTGTCTCTTGCCCTGGGGAGCCCCTAGTCCGTTGAGATGTGCCCCCATACTTGGATCGCTCATAGAGTGAAACCAGCTGGGCTATATCAGGCAGGAACTCTGTTAGTATTTGTTCAATGAATGTGGAAACAACCATTACCACGGGGATGCCGTGGGTTTCAGCAGGTGCAGCTCTAACCCTAGGAAGCCCCCAGGAGACGCCAGCCAGAGAGGAGGAAGAAATTGCAGCTAGCAAGACCTCTAGGGCTTGGAGTTGGGTCGGAAGTGGCATAGGTTTGAGGTAAATGTAGCTGGAAAAGCCTTGCCGTTCAGGGGACGGGAAGTGTGTATGTGGGCTAGGAAGGAGGGAAGGGCCTTGTCCTAATGTCTGGGTGGAGTGGAGGGAAAAGGCTATTCCAGAAAAGGAATTAGCCACTGGAAACCTCTGAAATAGGAGAGGGGTGAGGTGTGGTAGGTGAAAGCAAGCAGGTTTACCCAGATTAGCAACTAGTCAGAGTGGGGTGGGGTGGGGGTGATAAGTAAGTAATTCTGAATGTGTTTAGCTCAGTGGAGTTAAGCGAAAGATGGGGAAAATGAGTGTAAGTGTCTGGGATCCCCCAGACAAGGAGTCTATCTATAATCAGTCAATTCCCTGATCTCAGCACCCACTTTTATAAGGCAGACAACTCATGTCCACCTAAATTTCTCTGTTCCCTTCCCTTCCCACTTCATATACCCAAATGTATCCCACCCCATGGAACAGCATCTCAGGAAGGGCACCAGGCCACAAGAGGACTCAGCTCTCCCTGCCATCCCCCAGGATTAGCTCATTAAACCTTCCAGGAAGCCTGTGGCTCACCCTCCCCCAACACAAGTCCTACACCTGGGTCTGAGGAAAGGGTGGCAGCGGGAATTAGACCTGGATGACATCATTTCAGACAGCCAGTGCCAAAGAATATCCAGTGGGTGGTTTTCATCACAAAAGCTGAGCCAACTGGTAATTGAGGGGAGTGGGGTGAATCATGTTTGACAGGTAAGGAATGAAAACAGGGGGGCCCGGGGTGATTCTATTTCCTTGAGGCAGGGCTCATTCATCATATAAAAAGCCAGCTGGCCATTGACTGCACACCAGACCTGAGCGACCAGACAGCCCGTTCTTCCCTGTGGACCAGGTGAGTCTCTGATCGGATCCAACATCAAGGTCCTGTTTATGTTTTTCATTATTAGAAACTGAACAAAGGCAAATGTATGTAAGAGGCTAATGCAGGTACAATTTGGGAGGGAGGTTACTGGGATATATTTGTCTTAAATGGAATATCTGTCTTATATGGATGCATTTGTCTTAATTTGTCTTAAATGGAAGTGAGAGCTTAGAGAGCTTAGAGGTGCCTTAGTCAGCCGCCTCAGCGAACAGGTGCACAAGTGGAGATCAGGGAAGGGGGCAGATCTGTGCCAGTTGCCATAGTAAGTTAACAGCAGGACAAAGACTAGGACTCACGCCCAGGCCACTCTCAGCAACTACTATTCTTTCTATGTATGATACTTTAAAAAAAAAAAACTAATTCATAACATCAACTTCTGCTGAGCATTATATATGACTCCATGCCAGGCACTTTGGATAAGTCATATTGATATGAAACTTATTTGATAAGCATATAACCTAGCAGGGAAGATGATGCATAAATAAATGAAATGCAAACTAGATAGTGGTTGGTGGGAAGAGGGAGGGTGAGGACTGTGGCAGTTTGGGAAAGATTTGCTCAGTAACAGCTCCCAGGGTACATGATGTGAAATATGCTGGAGGAATATTTGGACAAGCAGAGATGGGAAGGGAAGCATTTCAGAAGAGACAGTACAAGGAAAGGCCACAGGGTAGTCACAGGTGCTTAGATTTCTATAGAGCCATCCCGAAAGTCACAAGGTGTGGCAGCAGGATGAAGAGATTACTTTCCAAAAGACCTAATCAGTGAGAGCCATGTCTGGGGAAGAAAGAGAGCCTAGAAACAAATTCCACTAAGGAGGAGCAGAACACAGTCCCTTTAAGTTCCTCCTCTCAAATGGGCACAGGAGCTATCGAAGCATATTCTATTCCCAAGTGTAAGGGGACAGCCAGGACAGAAGAGAGTCTTTCTTCTAAAGGGGCCTGAAATGAAACTTACTAGACATCGAACCTGGCTTCCCCCTGCTTAATCAAACCACTGAGTCACCTGTTCTCTCTCTAGGTCCAGCCTCTGAAGCATGAGTTCCCAGCAGAAGCAGCCCTGCACCCCACCCCCCCAAATTCAGCAGCAGCAGGTGAAACAGCCCTGCCAACCTCCACCCCAGGAGCCATGTGCCCCGAAGGAACCATGCCACCCCAAGGCTCCAGAGCCCTGCCACCCCAAGCAGCCTGAGCCCTGCCACCCCAAGCAGCCTGAGCCCTGCCACCCCAAGCAGCCTGAACCCTGCCACCCCAAGCAGCCTGAGCCCTGCCACCCCAAGCAGCCTGAGCCCTGCCACCCCAAGGCACCAGAGCCCTGCCACCCCAAGGTTCCCGAGCCCTGCCCCTCGACCGTCATTCCAGCGCCCGCTCAGCAGAAGACCAAGCAGAAGTAATGTGTTCCAGAGCCACGCCTGGGGGAGCGGCCACCTGAGGTCGATCACCGTTCCCATTCTGTTATGAGCCCCACTTGCTGTCAGCCCAAGTCCTAGCCCCTTCTTTGCACCCCCAAAAAAGATGTCCATCCTGTACAGTCACTCTGGAGCCCTTCTGGGCCCCTGAATAAGGTTGACATTCTTATTGGCTGAGCTACTTTTCTATCTGCTCAGAGCTATCTAATGAGGGTCTTGAGGGGTGAGGAGTGGGTCAAGTGAATCTTCCCTGTTCTGTTCCATTAAATCACTTTTAACTCCATTGCCCGCTCAGCTTTCTTCATTGCTCTGTCAGTGTGCAGCAGCTACTGTGCAAAGTGAGGGCTGCTTATGAGGGCTGTAGTCAGAAAGCACCTGACCCAGGCTCGAAGAGAGTGTGTGTGTGTGTGTGTGTGTGTGTGTCTGTGTCTGTGTGTGTCTATGTCTGTGTGTCCATGTGTGTGACGGGCACTCACAGGACCTTTCTGAGCAGGCAGTCCCAAGACTGCCTGGGCGAGCAGAACCCAGGCCAGCCACCTGGGGAGCCTCAGCTGGAGTAGTTTCTTCTTTTCCCTGAGTGAGTCATAACTGAGTGTAAATGGTGCCTGGTATGAGCCAGCATTGGCTCTGTGTCCTTGCTTCCAAGTCACCCTTATTTTATTTATTTGATTCCTTTAGTATTATTATTCTGAAGACATAGTACTCATATATATTCCAATACGATCAACCATTTTCTCACTCATCTTCCTTTTCTGATGCCCCCAACACATGGAGCCAAACAGTGCAGCACTCACAGAAATGAACACACACGGACATCCACAAACACAAACACAGACCTACCCATATGGACACACACAGAGTCCTACACACACACATACTCACGTATGCACACATGTCAATTTAATCCCCTTGTTTTTTTCTTTCACTGAGTGCCCAGTAAGAAGCTCCCAACACTGTAGCAAGAAGGAGAGTAGACTCCACAGTGCCAGACCTAGAAGAGGACTTAGAGGAGGCTCTTCACCCCATCTCTCATAAATAGTACTCTCCCCCCTTATTGAGAACCCTAGTAGGTGCCTGAAACCACAGATGGTACCAAAGGGGATAAATTCAATTTATGAATTAGACACAGTAAGAGTTTAGCAATAACTGGTAATAACATTGAACAATAATCACAATATACTGTGATAAAACTTAAGTGCAGGTGGTCTTCTCTCCCTCCTCTCCTCTCCTCTCCAGCCTCACATATCCGGGGCACCTCTCAGAGTGGAACATCAAAGCAAATGCAACAAAGATTATAAACAAGAAAAGTTTAGGCAGGTTTCAGAAGGAATAAAATAAATAGAGATAAGATCAAATGTCAGGACAGTGCCGAGGGAAGGAGGTCATTAAGATATAAAAGCTAGAGAGAAAGGAGACTTAAAAAGCACCTAGCACAACCCTTTAAATAAACAAGCTGATATATCTAGAAAGGGGATGATAATTCCCTAAGGCCACCCGGAAATCATGTTTCTGAACACAGCACACCCAGGGCCCTGCTCTTCAGAGCCCCGCCCTCTGGCTCTGCCGTCTTCTGGATTTTGCTGGTGAGCAGTGGGTTTGAAAGGTTCTGTCAGTGGCTCAGTGATTGCAGGAAGCCATGACCAGAAGCTGAGTCCAGCCCAATTTCCAGAGTAGTCACTGGGGAGCTGCCTGCCTCACACCCGCCTGAGGTTGTGGGCCATCCACCTCGTCAGTCAATGGGGTTCCCACCCCAGCGACCACTGTGGCTCCCCTGGAAATTCTCTTGGACTGCCCGCCACTCCAGAGAGGTTGGAAAGAACTAGTGACGGAAAACAACCATGCTGAAATTCAGACCCTCCTGCTGCAGGCCTCCAGGGTCTCACCTTCAGAAGCTGAGAGAGATGAATTAGAGCCCTGGACACTGTCATTGTCTGGAGTGGAACCAGAGACAGCCACGAGAGATGAGACTGTGGGAGGAGCAGATGTGGGTAACCTCCCCACGGGATTCCTCTACACTAGCCCAGGGTCTGAGGAGTCAGGCCCCCCGAGCCAGACATGCCTGCAGCCTGAGTGTGGCTTCCTCTTTTTCCACCTGTGGGAAGACATCAAGTGAGAGAAAGGCAGGGAGGAGTTAGCCCATGAAGTCCTAAAGGAACCTGGACAACATGGAAGTCTCCAGAACTATGACTGAAGACCCTGGGCAGCACTGGAAAATATGAAGAAAGAGATGAGAGGGACTGTGCCTCCCATCCACTGGAGTCTGTCCCCTTCAGGGAACTTCTCTGACATTTGCTGGGAATTGGGTTACCATCACCAGAATTATAAGACCCTGAAGCAACTTCATGTGACCATCTTCAGAACGGACAGGACAATCAGTTTGGGTAAGAAAACACCTAACCCAGAAACCAGCCTGGTCTGGGGGATCTGGGAAAATCTAGTCCTCAGAAAGCTCTAGAGGGAGGCTGAGGAGCCACTCTCCACATCTGCCCTCCAGGTTCCTGAATTGCTCCTCCTTACAGCCTGTCTCCCGGTTGCTCCTGGTGACCTGAGCAGCCTTGTCTGCTGTGGTCCAGGGCGCAGGTCCTCGTCCAGGAAGAGGACCAGGAAGGGGATGGGGCTTGCTGGCTGATCATGAATTGGGGGCGTGAGGAGGAGGGGTTCAGAATGAGGGCGGGAGAAGCACAGAGGAATGTGGCGATGGTCCACAGGTGATATGATGATGGGGGAACTACAGGGACTACACAGAGGGGAGAAACCAGTTATTGCACAAAAGTTAAATAAATAAAAATACAAAAAAGAAAGAACCCCAGAGATATTTGGAGACCATAAAACAAAAATAACCCAGGAAACTTTGCAAGTTGATGAGTAATTGTCAGATTGGCAGGAGAGGATGATGTCACTTGAGTCATAAGAGATTTCAAATTGCTGCTCATTGTCATGATGGAAAATGTCACAATACCTCTAGGGCTGGTCACCATGAAAGAGACAGGTGACGACTGGGGACACTGGTGACATATCAGGGGTACAAAGTCAAGGGACCATCTTGAGCAAAATGAGTCAAAATCCTAAATATCTGCATCCCACTGAAAAAATGTGCACTTGGGTATACAAAGATATATTTATGAGGATGATCTCTTCATTTTATATAGAGTAGCTAAATAATAATAACAATATGAGAGGGAAGCAACAAAAATTCCCAAAACAAGAAGATAGGAAAAGTCATTGGGTAGCAACGTAATGGAATATACTGCAACCATAAAATAATATTTAGTCTTATGTGTAGATTTTATACTTTTATAAAATCTGGCAGTAAAACAGCAAAACAGCAATAAACAGTGGCTATATTTGACCAAAAAGTAAAATGTACTGTTAATTTTATTCTTTGATTAGTCCTATATGTTCAAAATTTGATTTAAAGAGCATAAAATTTTCTTCTTTTTTAAGATTTATTTATTTATACAAACAAGAGCTGGGGTGCAGGCCAGAGATGCAGGGGTGAAAGGATTCACCAGAGACAGAGCGGGGAACAGAACAGGCAGACGGACTGAAATACACTGCTGAGGGGAGCAGTGGGCAAGTCAGGAGAGGTCTGCCTCGCCATGTGGGTAGCTCCCTGGCTCGCCAGGGATCAAACTCGTGCTGCAGAGGCTGCGGATTGCTTCATAGTGCAGTGCTTTAACTCCTTGCACCACCAGGGAGGCCCAAAAGCATAAAATTTTCATAACACTTCTTTTACATGTCTAAAAACATAAAGCAGTCCAAAATGTGGAAGTTCTAGAGAAACATTTTTTTCTAGAACTTTTCTGAGGCCCTGCAACTGTTTCAGGTCAGCAGCCCCAAAGGGGTTGACTCTTTTTAAGATAACCCATACAAATTCCAATGCAATTCTAAATCCTTTTGCTGGAGGCCCCCCAGGACACCATCCCCCTACAACTACCTCATAACCAACTGACTGTCCTGCCCACTGACTCTGTGACCAGGGGTTAAATGAGGGTATCTGGCAGAAAGCTCTGTCTGAGACTTCCTCTTCTCTCAGCAGTTTCCTCTGTAGTAACTAGAGTGTCATTCACCCGGCCAACAGCAGAGGGCAGGCTACTACTTAGTGTGAGGAATTTGAGGCACAAGCTATGTTCACAGCGTGGTTGCAGACCTGATGCACGTTTGGTTCCCTGCACAGATATGCCTTGGTTTCCTCACCCTTACTTTTCTCTGTCTGATCAGCACCATAAGTCTGCATGTGTGAGGAGGAAAGGAGATAACGTCTGGTTTAGCGGAGCCCGCGGCTACAGGCTGTTCCCACGTCTCCTAACTGCAGCATCCCTCTGTGGGGCTGGTCAGGCCTGCTGCACCTCAGTGTAACACACCTGATTCTCTGCCCTGTTGCTTTTCTCCTCCCTTTGCCGTCTCGCTCTTTTCAGTTTTATATTCAACACTGCCCACCTGCAGCCCCACCCGGCTACAGAACCAAACGCCTGGTAGGAGTTTACCTGACCTTTCTGAGATGTTGAGTGGCCTGTTCCTTTACCAGGTGATGCTGCAGATTTGAGATTTGCCAAAAACATGCCAAATAAGAAAAATAACATTCATTACAATTATAGATTCAGGAGATTAAAGAATATATTTATAAATTAGACAGATAACTTCCCAGTTCATTATATGAGCATTATTCTTTCTTGTCTCTAGGAATACCTTCACCTGTTTCCTTTGAAGGTCCCTGAGTTCAGATAAAAGCAGACACCTTGCAGAGTTTTCCATCACTGCCTGTCACTCTACCCACAACCAAGTCTTGTACACTTAGAGGCATGAACCCAAAATGCCCAGTACCTTGCAGTACCACTCACCATCGCCAAGGTTGTTCAAACTGCAGGCCCTCGGGTGCTGACCCTTTGCCCCTCACAGCAGCGTGCTGCCTGGCCCTTCAGGGACCGCAGAGGGTCGGGGTTCATTGAGAAATAGCAGCCCAAGTGTTCTGTTCTCTTTGACTGGAACTTTCTGACCCCATAACCGACTGTTCCTCACAATTGCCACTCTGGAAACTTGATTCTCAATCTGTATTAGAGAATGGGGTGAATTGGAATTATTGATATTCATGTCTCTTTTTTTTTTCCAGGAAAATACATGTCATATCAGAGTCCATCTCCAGCATCTGCATACTCTTCTAAAGTGCTTTTGTTTCATGGTACAATAATGACTTTTTTTTCCGATCACAGTTTAGAATTTGAATCCTAGAATGTTTGCTGTGTTCAGTCAACATTTGCTGTTTCACAAAAGGAGAATTTTCTTCTAATGGTCATATAAGAATGGAGGATCTTTATAATATAGGACAAATTTCTGAAAAGGAAAAAAATGCCAAATAAGAAAAATAGCATTCATTACAATCATAGATTCAGGAGATTAAAGAATATCTTTATAAATTAGACAGATAACTTCCCAGTTCATTATATGAGCATTAATCTTTCTTGTCCCTGGGAATACCTTCACTTGTTTCCTTTGAAGGTCCCTGAGTTCAGATAAAAGCAGACACCTTGCAGAGTTTTCTATCACTGCCTGTCACTCTACCCACAACCAAGCCTTATGCTCTTAGAGGCATGAACCCAAAATGCCCAGTACCTTACAGACCTTGGCAGAGCTCCTCTTGCCACTATCAGCATCAATCAGGGTCTTCACATTCAGTGCTCAGCACCTCCCCAGAGTCCACCTGCAGAGTGCTCACCTTGATACTAGCCATCGCCATGATGTCAGCCAATGTGTCACTTTGTGAACCTGCTTCCTCCTCGCTAGTGGCAGCATCCTCCCCAAAGTGAGAACTGCCCCAAAGCTTGCAGGAGTAAAATACAGCAAGCATAAAGTGTTCTTTCTCTTGGAGGATTTATATTACATCCCCTTCAAAGTCTGATATAATGAGATATGACATCTTCAGTAGGTTTCATTCATGATGGTCTTTGCACACACACATGTGAATATATGCATAACTGGTGAGATCCGAATGAACTCAAAGGATTGTGCCATATCAATTTCCTGGTCTTGATATTGAACTACAATTATGTTATCATCAAGGAAAGAAGCTGAAGGTGTATATTTATCTCACTTTTTGGTGAATCCTTAAATTACTTTATATTAATTACTTTAAATTAAATAATTTAATTACTTTAAAAGTTAAAGTTACACACATAAACAGGCAATGCAGAAACTGATGTGAGATGTGAGAATCTATCCAAACCTTAAAGAGATTTGCAAAAATGAAAAAAAATGAATAAATAAATTACAAAGTATTAGAGAAAGTTGGGGCCTCCCCGGTGGCGCAGCAGTTGAGCGCTGGGTTGCAAAGCTGCCCGCAGCCTCTGCAGCGCCGGTTTGATCCCCGGCTGCTCCTCAGCCACCGGAGGAGGGTCCCCGCAGACCTCTCCTGCCGCCCGCTGCTCCCCTCAGCAGTGTACTTCGGTCCTTCTGCCTGCTCTGCTCCCTGCTCTGGCTCTGGTGAATTCTCCCACGCTTCTGACTGTACCCAGTGTTTGTATAAATAAATAAATAAATAAATAAATAAATAAACAAATCTTTAAAAAAAAGTATTAGAGAAAATATTAAATGTGGAATAAAAGTGAATGGGAGAAAAATATTTGCACACCATACATCTGACAAGGTACTAATATCAAAGATCTGCAAAGAGCTCATAAAGCTCAAGAAAAAAAAAAAAAATATCCTGATCAAAAGATGGGCAGAAGAGCTAAACCCTTCTCCAAAGATACATACAGATGGCGAATGGGCAAATGAAAAGATGTTCGTCATCACTTATCATCAGGGAAATGCAGCTCAAAACACAATGAGAGACCACCTCACACCTGCAAGAACGGCCCATATCAAAAAATCAGAAGCAACAAGTGCTGGCGAAGGTGTGGAGAAAAAGGATCCCTCTTACATTATTGGTGGGACTGTAGACTGACCCAGCCCCTACTGAAGGCGGCATGGAAGTTTCTCAAAAGACTAAAAATGGGTCTGCCATATGACCCAGTAATTCCACTCCTAGATATCTATCTGAATATTTCAAAAACACTAATTCTAAAGGAAACCTGCACTTTCTTGTTTATTGTATCACTATTTATTGTATCACTGTTTATTGTATCGCTATAGCCAGATTATAGAAACAACCTCAGTGTCCTGAATCAGATGAGTGGGTCAAGAAGACATGATCTATACACACAATGAGATATTAACTCAGCTTTTAAAAAAGATAAACTTATGCCATTTGCAGCAATACGGATGGAACTGAAACAGGGGCGGAGGGGCCTCTTTTGAGGGTTGGGGTCCCTTCGTGGTCGCCAACTGAAACAGGGGCGGAGAAGGCCACAAAAGAGGCCACAGGGTCTCTGAAATCAGAAAGCCACCAAAAAGGCCCAAAAGGCCAAAAACCAAAACCAAGAGCTCTCGCCTCACAAAGGACAGGCCCGGTGAGAGGCCAGGCCGCTGTCTGCGGGCCCCGCCCGCGCGCACACCTGCAAGAGACCTGAGCCTCCAGGGACCGCGGCCAGGGGGGTTTAAGCACAAACAGGGGGACAACAAGCTCACACGCGGCGGCTGCTCACCAGGTCCCAGCCCCAGGCCGCTCTCAGGGGCCCGGGCCGCGGCCTTCGGGGCTCCTCGCAGGCACCGCCGGAGACAGGCCCGCGGCCCAGGCCGGGCCGAGTCCGGGGAGGGCGGCTGCTGGGTGCCGCCTTCCTCTCTCCTCGGAGGCGGGAAGCGGCGTCTTTCCCTCAGGGCTGGCGTCGTCGCTCCTTCTCCTTCGGGGCCTGGGCCTCTTCTTTCAGGCCGGGGTCGCCGCCCCCTTCCCTCAGGGCCGCTCCCGGCTCCCTCAGCGCCCACCAGCCCGGGCTTATATCCTCCCTCACCCGCACGTCTGATTGGACCGCTTAGCACCAATCAGCTCACGGCTCGCACCTGATTGGTCCATTCCAAACGGCGGTGACTGGGCTCTGAGGAGCCGCCGCCACGGCTGACGGAGGGTGGGGCAGCAGGTCCCCAGGACAGCGCTGTCCCGCCGGCGCCCGCCACTGAGACGCCTGGGTTCCGTAACAGAATGAGAAGCAATAAGAAGGGGAAAGATAAATATCAGATGGTGTCACTAATATGTGAAATATATGGAAACCAAACTAAGGGTAGATAAAGACAATCTTAAAAACTAACCCTTGAGGACCTATCCGGGGGCGCAAGGGGTTAAGTGTCAGCACTGTGAAGCTGTCCGCAGACACTGCAGCACGAGTTCAAGGCCAGCCAGGGAGCTACCCACATGGCGCGGCAGACCTCGCCCTTCTCACCAGCTACTCCCCTCAGCAGTGTATTTCAGTAGATCTACCCTACATGTTCTGCTCCCCACTCTGTCTCTGGTGAATCCTCTCACCCTCCGCACCTCTGGACTGCATCCCAGCTCTTGTATGCATAAATAAATAAAATAAATATTTTTAAAAAACTTATTAGAAAAAACTAACCTTTGAAAGTTGACTGTAGAACTGAAGCATCCATATGGGGCAGGGGTGGGGAGAGACTGAACAAAGTGGGAAGAAAGCACAAAGGACCATGGTGGTGGACGATGGGTGATTTGGTGATGGGTACACTAAGGTGGTGATACCTAATGGGGGGGGGAGATTCTAATGTTACCTCAAGTAAAAGATAAATAAATAAATATTTTTAGAAAAAACATAGTCTTTTCAAACATGTCTTAATTCATTAGCTTATCTTGCACGTGTACCTACCATCTATGCATGATTTTGTAGCATCACAAACTGGTCATATTGAAAATACTGGATCATTGAGCTACACTACATGGATCTTATGAATGTTGACATATTTCATTACACAGGATTAAAAAACATATTCATTAGTATTTCCTCTGTATCATCAGAAACATTAAGTATTGGAAGCTGTGATAATGTAATTAGTAACTGTGTAAGACAGAATATGGCTTTAAGTGATTGTAATAGACTTCCAGAGGCCCACAGTGTCTCAATTAACATTGAGTTCCACATTCCAAGGTAGAAGGGGCCTACACCTGGCATATTGAGAACATATCTGACCCTTTAGGGGAGATAGTTCCCACATTGTCGTCCAACCTGCTCAATATCCCTCAGTTCCAGTAGGCTCTGATATCCTCAGAGGCATGCCTACTCATGTCCCCATTCTTGAGATCCCAGGGTCTTGGCTGGGCTCCAGGTGCCTAGACCTGGTAAAGACACCCCTTTCTCTTAGCCCCAAGCTCCACAGGGCTGAGCTGGAAGCAAAAGCAGTCAGCATGGGGTCGGACCAAATTTTGGAGTGATTGGAATATTAGGGGAGGGGAATATGGGATAAAGGAGGAATGAAACTAGGCAAAAGGAAACCAATATGATACAAAGGCTATGTCAAAAATAAGCAACCATCAAGAGTATATCCCTGATAATTTTTTTGATCTGCATTTTCCTGATAACTAATGATGTTGAGAATCTTCTCAAATATTTGTTGGTCATTTCTAAGTCTTCTTTAGAAAAATGTCTGTTCAAGTTCTTTGCTCATTTTTTAATGAGGGTATTTGTTTTGTTGTTTTTTTTTTTTCGTTTGAAGGAATTTCTTTTGTATTTTGGAAATTATTAACCCTCTTTTTTTTTTTTTTTTTTTGTGGGACCCTTGCCAGCGGCCGGGGAACAAACTGGCCCTGCAGAGGCTGCGGGCAGCCTTGCAGCCCAGCACTCAACCACTGCGCCACCAGGGGAGGCCTGGAAATTAACCCTCTTACAGGAAATATGGTTTGCAAATATTTTCTTCCATTCTGTAGCTTGCCTTTTCACTCTTTTGTCTCTTTGCTGTGCAAAGCTCTTTAGTTTGGTGTAGTCTTATTCAACTCTTTCTGCTTTTATTGCCTTGTTTTGGGTTTCATATCTATGAAGTCATTGTAAAACTAATGTCACCAGGCTTTTCCTCTAAGTTTTCATCTAGAAGTTTTATAGTTTCAGGTCTTAATTTTAAGTCTTTAATCTATGTTGAGTTGAGTTTTATATATGGTGAAAGGTAGGAGTCCAATTTCACTTTTTTTGCATATGGCTATCCAGTTTTCCATTACCATTTGTTGAAAAGATTATTCTTTCCTTATATGTGTCTGAGGCCTTAGTCTTTTCAAATATTCACTGACATTGAATGGATTTATTTTGTGTGAAATTATTTTATGTGAGTTTATTTTGGGGTTCTCTATTCTATTCAATTGGTCTATATGTCTGCCTCTATGTAATTACCATAATTTTTTAATTTTTGTGACTTTGTAATAAAGTTTGAAATCAGAGCATGTAGTGCCTCCAATTTTGCTAGTTTGCTCAAGATCAATTTGGCTATGCTGGGTCCTTTGTGGTCCTTTAATATAAGGCTATTATTTTAAAAAGAAAAGCATTGAAAGGCTATGGAGAAATTAGAACTCCTGTATATTGCTGGCGAGAATGTAAAATGGTGCAATATTATGTAATACTTACATATTATTCCATACTACCATAGAATCCAGTCTTCCCATTTTTGAAATAATTGAGATTAGTATCTCCAGGAAATACTGGCACCTCATGTTCATTGCAGCAGGTTCATAACAGCTAAGATATGGAAACAACTCAAATGTCCATTAACAGATGAATATGCAAAGAAACTATGATATATACATAAAATAAATACTATTTGGCTTTTTAAAAGAAGAAAATCCTCTCATTTTCAGTAACATGGATAAAGATGGAAAACTTTACCGTAAGAGAAATAAGCCAGCCACAGAAAGACAAAAATCTGTGTAACTTCACTTTTTCAGAGTATCTAAAATATTCAAATTCATAATGAATGTACAAAAGTTATTTATGGAGATTGGTTGTTCAATAGTTATAGTTCCATTTGCGGTAGATGAATAAGTTCTAGAGATCTGCTCTAACTTGATTCCTAGAGCTAACAACAGAGTAACAGTATACTTAAAAGTGAAGAGGGCAGAGCGAGAAAGAGAAAATATGAGAGGTGTTGGAATATGTCTATTTTCTTGACTGTGACAATATTACCACAGGAGCATGCATGTCTAAACTCATTTAATTGTACATATTAAATATGTACAAAAATTGTGTCTCAGAGGGGTTTTCCCTATGTGTAAAAGAGGAAAGCATTATCTATTAGTTCACATGTTCTGTTGGTGATGTGTGGTCACGGCACACTAACTATTCAAGTCTGCAATTCCAGGAGAGCATTAAAATTTTCCCAGACATCACAGAAAGTGGCATCTTAGAAGTTAGAATCAAGAAAATAAAGAGTCCAGTGGAATATGTGGGAGTGGTACATACAGACATGGCTGGCAAAAGAGCAAGACCAAAAAAATTTGAATGCTTAAATATAACTAATATCACCAACCTACAGGTTCCAAGAATGTGGGACCCAGGCCATTGATGTGGTGGGAGTTAACAGGCTCCTGGTCTAGTAAGCGGGTCAGTGAAAAGACCAAGGTACCTCTGGAAAAGTGACTCACAATCAGAGATTATGCTATTCAAGCTCTGTCTGGGGCCTGCAACTCTGGTGAAGAAACTAATGTTCTCTGACCAAACAAACAGAAACAGCAGACTTGGGGTAAATTAGAAGTTCTCAAGGCTGATGCCACAGAAGATTTTGTTGGGTGAACAAGGCATTCATTATGACAAAGCAGGAGAGAGCCCATCCAGGGAAGGATGACAGAAAATAAGAAAGGAATTTAGTCAAGAACTAAAGTCCATTTCAAAATAGGACACAGGAAAGATCCACATTCATACAAAGGAAGAAGAAGAAGGCTCCCTAGAGAGAAGAATCCCAGGTGGAGGAGAGGGTCTGGTCAAAACTTCCTGTGTCAATGGTTGCTGAGAGATGGTTTTGATGGGGAGAGGATGTGGACTCAACCCGAGAGGAGATTCAAGCTAATGCCAGAGACCTGAGTGCAGGTGTGACTGTGGCACTAACACCACCCAAAAAGGAGGTGGTTGGGCCAATGCTAACAGAGAGGAGACAGGCATGAAGGAAACAGACAAAGGATGTATACCAGCACCACTTCCAGCTTACAATGAATGTGTCATAAAACTGAGTCATTTCAAGAGGTCACTTTGTGGTTGACATTTAAGTTCATATACTTCTCTGTAAAAATACTATTTTTTCTCTGTCTCACTCTTTTCCTTCCATTCTTTGCTTCCACCCCTCCTGCTTGCCACCATCCATAAAGCTACATATTTACCAGGTTAAACAAAAACTGTTCATTGATTGACCATCTACCAGACAGTGTATAAGAAAATAGGGGCTTTAGGAAACTAATGGATGGAGCTCATGATGGTGACCTTGCCTAAGTTCCTGGGGAGTAACAAAGGTGTAAAACAGTGAGAAGTGTAGGGCTATTCAAACACAGAGGTTGTTGTTGTTGTTGTTTCTTACATCTTTCATTTTTGTATAGTGATTGGTTTCTCCCCTCAGCCACACACCTGAGTTTTAAGAATGTTTGCTTTTTCAAGGGACATGCCTAGTAAGAGATTGCACGTTGAGGTCAGTTCTGGGTGAGTGACCTCTGTTTCATCTTAGCCCCATCAGAGAATAAGGCTGGTACTGAACTCAGGGAATCTGAGCTCTGTTGTCCCTCTGTTGCCCCCAGAGGACAGACCCAAAGACTCCAGTTCTTCAGGTCTACACCATAATGAGAAACAGGTACAGTCAGTGCAGACTGTCCATCTCAAGGGCATATGCTACTCGTGGTCTACATGGCGTCGAAGACTCCCCAGAGTAAGGCATTTCCAAAGCAAGCTTTAAACTTCTCCTGGCCTGGACTCACAGAGAGGTGTCATATAGGGTGATTTCTGTTGTCACCCACACCATGCCCTCCACGAGAACCTGTAGAATCTATTGTTCATCTCTACAGCTTCTTAGGAAATGGAAATGGCCAGTAGAATCTATCTGAGCTACAGATTGGTGGCCTGTCCAAGCGGTAAGGCTATGTCTGCTCCCAGACTCAGAACATCTCCCTGATTTAACTCATCACCACCCAAGAATCCTGTTTGTTGTCCACAGAACCTCACCTCAAAGGGCGGACTGTGGGATAGGCCCAGGTGACATCATTTTCAAACAATCAATACCCAAAAATGTTAAGCCAGAGATTTTCATTATAAAAGCCAGAATGAAGATAGAGCTGCCAACAAAAAATCCCACTTCCTTTAGACTGGACCGGTTTTATGTATAAAAAGCCAGCTGACCAGAGACTCCACAGCAGACCTGAGACGCCGGCAGCTTGAACTGTTCTGCACCCCAGGTGAGTCTCCCACTTGGGTTTGTATTTTCTTTAGGTTCACCTAATGGCATTTTATTTCACTGGAGTCTCTTGACAGTCTAAAGATGTACTTGTTTTTAATTAAATAGCATCTTGTTTGAGGTAGATATTTTTGATTCCCCACTTTAGATCACAACTGCGGAATCTGGGGTCAGAAAAAGGCAGGAGTTTCTGTTAAGAATTGTTATTAAAATTAAACTACAGGAGGAAATGGACTGCAGCTCACATCCAGATAGTTTTAGTGACATTTTAGTTATCTCTCCAGTTTTCTTTAGAATTTTCAATATCAAAGGCATTGCTGTAGGTAGTTTCAATGATCAAAAGTTGGATCAACCTTTGCTGCATGACCCCGTGACCTTATGATCCATCAGAGAACATAGTACATGGTGTCCTTTTCAAACAGAGTGCATGGAAAGTGGTGAGTGGAGAGGGCAAGGCAGGAGTTGTGTTGTGGTGAGAGGAAGGTGAGCTGGCATGTGGCAGCGTGTCTCGCAGGAGAGCCAGGATGCAGGAGCCTGAGCAGACAAGCAGCACGGAATGGAAAACCTTCCAGAAAACACACACACAGAGGACAGTGTAAACAAACAGAGGTTCAGGGGTGAAATCGTGTGGGCTGAAGGAGATTTTATAGATTTCCTAAGAGAGCTAAGACTCTCTGTGGTGAGCAGAGGAAGGGAAACTCCAGACTGTTGACTTTATCACCTTTTTGAATTTTCCAAAGCCTGGGGCCTCCCTCAGTCCCAGGAGGCTGTTGTGTGGTGGTGTTGATGTAGTTTTCAGAATCACCAGGAGACAGAAAGCATAGAGAAGGCTTCTACTCCTCTGGAGCTAAGCAAATCACCTTTAACCATCTCCTCTTGAAAAGGCACAACAATCCACTACTCTTCCTTTGCTTTCAATTCGGGGGAACAGAAAGGAAGAAAAGAGGCGGGGGCGGGTGAAATGAGACATATGTGGCATCCACCTTGGCTTCTTCCTTGTTTTACCAAACCGCTGAGTCAGCTGTTCTGTCTCTAGGTCCAGCCCCCCCGAAGCATGAGTTCCTACCAGCAGAAGCAGCCCTACACCCCACCCCCCCAGCTGGAGCAGCATCAGGTGAAACAGCCCTGCCAGCCTCCTCCTCAAGAACCGTGTGTTCCCACAACCAAGCAGCCATGTGTCACCGGGGGGTCACACCCTTGCAACACCAAGGCTCCAGAGCCCTGCAACCCCACACATCCTGAGCCAAGCCATCCTACATTTCCTGTGCAGGGCCACTCCAAGGTCCCTGAGCCTGGTCACCATCAGGTGACTCAACCGATCTACCCTCCAGTGCTTCAGCCTGGCCACACCAAGCTCCCTCAGCATGACCACACCAAGCTCCCTCAGCATGACCACACCAAGGTCCCTCAGCATGACCACACCAAGTTTCCAGAGCCATGTAACTCTACGGTCACTCCAGGCCCAGGCCAGCAGAAGACCAAGCAGAAATAATGTGGTTCATAGCCATGCCCTTGGGGAGCAACCACTGGATGCTGATCACCTTCTACCTTCCTGTTCTGTGTCTTCGTCATGCAGCTCTTATAAATGTATGTTCTCCAGGGTCAGTCTCTCTCCTATTTGTTTCTTAAAAATATGTGCTATGAAGCTTTTACTTACATACCAAGAAGGGTCCTTGGAGCCTCTGGCTCATGTCAAAGGTCTTATTGATTTTGCTACTCCTCAGTTGCTCAGCATTCTTCTGAAGGAGAAATGTGATTGGGAAGAAATATATGTCTCCTGATCTGTACTCATTAAATCACCTTTAATCCCACTTTGGCGTTTTTGTATTTGGTTTAATCTGCCATTACTTTATTCACTCATCTTGAGAAGGACCTGCAGACAAAGGAAGTTGGTGTAAACGCCATCTGTCTAATCTGGGTATGTGTGCTTCTACCAGTGTGAGTGTGACCACATTGGTGGGGGGGGATTCCTAGAATAGCAATGACTGTTGTATAAAGGGTCAAGAACCTTCCACTTTGGGCAGCCATACCTGAGCATTGTTCTCTTCTGGCACTGGACTGGGGCATGCCTGCATTCCCTAGCTCTGGCTCCAAGCCACCGCTATCCTGAGGACACTGTAACAAGACTTCTGTTTATATCAAAAAAGATCCTTCCCACGCACTTAATGCTGATCTTCAAGTTTACTTAGTTTTACCTTCCAAATACCCAACACACTCACACAGGAGGTATATTCATTGTAAATATCCACAGTTACATAATTGATCATAATTGATCATCTGATCAGTGTTACCTTTTGCTGACTACCCATTCTGTCCAGGGAAGCCTAAAACTGAACCAGAGAGGAGGAGGAGACAATGAGAACTTGCATTCTTCTCAGAAAGGGATTGTATATTATTTAAGATCAACCCATAATTGTTCTGGATTGCACTTCTTCAGGTTTCCACCCTCTCTTTCTTTCAGCCTAGTGTTGATTTCAAGCATGTCCACTAGATTTGCAGATAACTATTGAGTTGGTCTGTCATATAAGGGAGCTTTTCCTAAAATCAGTGAAATTAACATAAAATTTTAAAGGGGTTATCAGGGTCATTGGGGAATTAACTCCCCATCTTAGCCAGCTAGGTGGTCCATAGCAGGTATGAGGTAGGTGATGACAACATGTGAATGATGTACTAGCACCTCAGAGGGAGTGAGAACTCAGAGGTAGTTGAAAGTGTAACAAAAATTATCCAACACCTTCCAATAGCAAGTGATGATTAGCTGTCAATCAAGCAGTAGATAATGTCACTTTGATCTGAAAAGAATCCACATTGGAGATGACCTCACATAACTGCTGATTTGAATGGTGGAAAGTATCTAGACAAAACTCTAGAGCCACTCAAAATTAAATAAACTGATTATAAATGGGATCATAAGTTTTATAACAATATTTTTCACAAATGTCATTTAAATACCTTGAAGAAGAGCTTGAAAGAGAAGGACATAAGGTTTAAAGAGTTATCTGTCTCTGGAACCACCAATTATGTTCTATAAATTTATTTTTAGGAAATATTAATGAAAGTACAAAAAGATTTTATACACCAAGACATTCATTTCAGCATTGAATCTAATAGCAAAGTGTTGATAATTTAAATACATATCAATAGAGGATGGATTCAATAGTGTTGGGATTAAGCAGCTATCACTTTAAAATGTTTTAAGAATTCTTTGAAAGAATAAAATAGACAAACCTCTAACTAGGCTCACTAACAAAAGAAGGGAGAAAATGCTAATAAATAGAATCAGGAAACCAAAGATGAGAAGTTAAAACAGATATCTCAGAAGTACAGAGCATCATATGAGATTATTAGAGCACCTTTATGACAACAAGTGGAAAAATCTAGAAGAAATGGACTAATTTTAGAATCAAGCAACATCCCAAGAATGAATCAGGGAGAAATAGAAAACTTGCACAGACACATTACAACCAAAGAAGCTGAAACAGCAATGCCCCCAGTGCCACCAATGCTCCCAGAAAGCAAATGCCCAGGACCAGGTAGATTCCTTGTGAGTGCTAACAACCCTTCAAAGATGAGGTATACCTATCCTTCTCGAGCTTTCTCAAAAAAAAATAAAGAAGAGAGAATGCTTCCAAGTACATTTTATGAGGGCATCATTACCCTAATAACAAAAGCAGGCAAAGATACGACCAAAAAAAAAAACAAAAGTACAAATCAATACCCCTGTTGAATATAAATTTGAAAATCCTCAACAAATTCTTAGCAAATTAAATTCAACAACACATTAGAAGGATCATACACCATGACCAAGTGGAATTTATTCCAGAGATTCAAGATTGTTCAGCATCTGCAAAGCAATTCATGTAATCCACCACATTAACAGGAGGATAAATATCATATAGTCATATTAATAGAGGCAGAGAAAACATTTGACAGGATCCAGCATCCATTTATGATTTTGGAAATAAACTGTCAATAAAATGGGGATAGAAGGAAGACAGCTCAACACACTGAAGGTCACATACACTAAATCCACAGCTAAAGTCATATTCAATGGTGAAGAACTAAAAACTTTTCCTCTAAAATCAGGTATAACTTGAGCCTCCCTGGTGGGACAAAGAAGAAATAGAACATCTAAACAGACCAATTACAAGCAACAAAATTGAGGAAGTAATCAAAGCACTCCCCAAAAAACAAAAGCCTAAGTCCAGATGGCTGCACAAATGAATTCTACCAAACGTTCAGCAGTGAATTGGTGCCTATTCTACACAAACTCTTTCAAAAAATTGAAAAAGAAGGAATACTACCAAATACATTCTACAAAGCCAACATTACACTCATACCAAAACCAAACAAAGACAGCACAAAAAAAGAAAATTACAGGTCAATCTCCCTAATGAACACTGATGCAAAAATCCTCAACAAAATCTTTGCCAACAGAATCCAACAAAGCATCAAAGAGATAAAACACCACAATCAAGTGGAATTCATCCCAGGGTCACAAGGATGGTTCAACATATGAAAATCGATCAGTGTAATCCAACACATCAACAAAGAGAAAAAAAAAACATACGATCATATCAATAGGTTCTGAGAAAGCATTCATCAAAGTCCAACATCCACTTATGGATGAAGGCCCTTGAAATTTTCAGCATAGAAGGAACATACCTTAACAATGATAAAAGCCATATACAACAAACCCACTGCTAGTATTATTCTCAATGGTGAAAGGCTGAAGGCCTTCCCTTTAAGATCAGGAACAAGACAAGGATGTGCTCTCTCACCACTGCTCTTCAGTATAATACTGGAGGTCATAGCCAGGGCAATAAGACAAGAGAAAGATATACAAGGAATCCAGCTAGGGAAAGAAGAAGTAAAACTATCACTATTTGCAGACGATTTGATAATATACAGAGAATCCTAAAAACTCCACAGAAAAACTACTTGAAATAATCAACCAGTTCAGTAAAGTATTAGGATATAAAATCAACACACAAAAATCAGTAGCCTTCCTATACACAAACAATCAGTCTGAAGAAGAAATCAAGAAAACCATCCCTTTTATAATTGAAACAAGAAAATCAAATACTTGGGAATAAACCTAACAAAAGAGGTGAAGGAGCTATACAAAGAAAATTATAAAACACTGTTAAAACAAATAGAAGAAGATGCAAAGAAATGCAAAGACATCCCCTGCTCATGCACTGGAAGAATTAACATTATTAAAAATGTCCATTCTACCAAAAGCAATAGATAGATTCAATGCTATTCCAATAAAAATCTCAATGACATTCTTCAAAGAAATAGAACAAATACTGATGAAATTCATATAGAACCACAAAAAAACCACTAATAGCCAAAACCCTATTGATGAAAACAAGAGAAAGGAGGTATCACACTTCCAAACTTCAAGCTATACTACAAAGCCATAATAATTAAAACAGCTTGGTATTGGAACAAAAACAGACACACAGACCCATGGAACCAAATAGAGAGCCCAGAAATAATGCCACACTTACATGGACAACTGATCTTTGACAAAGGAGCAAAGAACATGCAATGGAACACAGACAGTTTGTTCAATAAATGGTGCTGTGAAATCTGGACCACCACATGCAAAAAAATGAAACTAGACCACTACCTCTCACCATGCACAAAAATCAATTCAAAATGGGTAAGAGAACTGGACATAAGACCTGAAACCATAAAATATATAGAAGAAAATATAGGTAAAACACTATAAGACATACATCACAATAACATCCTGAAAGACTCAGCACCCAAAGCAAAGACAGTCAAGGAAAAGATAAACACCTGCAATTACATCAAACTGAAAAGCTTCTGCACAGCAAAAGAGACATTAACCAAAACAGAGAGACACCCCAATGATTAGGAAAAAACCTTTGCACTCCAGTCAACTGATAAGGGACTGATCACAAAGATATACAAAGAACTCACATGACTCAACAAAAACAAAATAAAGAATCCAGTCAAGAAATGGGCAGAAGAACTTAAATGACATTTCTCCAAAGGGGAAATGCAAATGGCCAACAGGCATATAAAAAAATGTTCAACATCCCTTATAATCAGGGAAATGCAAATCAAAACCACAAATGAGATACCACCTTACACCAGTAAGAATGGCACATATAAAAAAAAAAAAAGCAACAATAAATGTTGGTGAGAATGTGGTAAAAAAGGAACTCTCCTACATTGCTGGTGGGAGTGCAAACTGGTCCAACCACTATGGAAAGCTGTTTGGAGTTTCCTCAGTCTACTAAAAATGGAGCTACCATATGACCTGGTAATTCCACTCCTAGGGATCTACCCAAAGGACACAAAAACAGTGATTCAAAAGAGCACATGTACCCCTATGTTTATTGCAGCACTATTTATATAGGTAAAATCTGGAAACAACCCCAAAGCCCAAAAATAGATGACTGGATCAAGAAGATGTGGCATATATACACAATGGAATATTATTCAGCAATCAAA